CATATCTAAGGTTGTTCATGTTTAACTCCAGCCTTGGTTATGTTAGTTATATTTCTTTTATTGTAAAGTGTATGTTATGGCATTAAAGTCTTGCCGGATTTTGTAAGCTGCCATGTGTCCCCTGTGGGGTGAAATCCACCAGCTTCTCAAATCATGGAGAATTAGCTTGGATTGACCCTCAAGTGAATGTTGGGATCAATCCTTCAAACTTGGTGGTCTGGCCAGTTGGTAGGGTGGAGCAATAAAACAAAAACTCTAGGTTTCCCATTCCTGGCAGATCATTTCCATGGGCCTGAAAATTCTGGACTTGCAATTTGCCACATTGGACATTGGTCGCTTAAGCAAGCTTGCTAAGGGACTGAATGACATGCATTCCTTAGGGTGCAGGGTGTGTTTAGCTTGGAGAAAAGAAGGCCGAGAGGGATATAAGAGCCATGTTTACAGGCCCGTAGCCAGGATTTCGTTTCGGGGGGGGGGGCTGACTTTGTTTTGGGGGGGGGCTGAGTCCGAGTGAAAGAGGGTCTACCCTAGCAAACCTTTTGTATCGTTACCCCAATACCCCCATGCATATGGGATATATTGAGTATAGTGATCAGATCATGATATGAATAAACATGCACCAGTAAGGCCTTTTCGCAAACCACCATGAGAATTTCAGGTGGGGCTAAAGCCCCCCAAGCCCCCCCCCCCCCGGCTCTTATTAAACATCCTGCCTGCATGTTTAAATATCAGAAGAGATGTCCCATTGAGGAGAGGGAAGCTTGTTTTCGGCTGCTCCAGAGACAAGGGCTTCAATGAGCAATGGTTTCCAACTGCAGGAAAAGAGATTCTGCCTAACCATCAGGAATAAATTCCTGACAGAAAATGCTGTTTGATAGAGGGCTTTTCCTGACCAAACATATCTCCCTTTATGAACCAACTAGAGTTTTAAGATCTGCTGGGGAGGCCTTGCTCTCGGTCCCTCTCTCTTCGCAAGCGTGATTGGTGGGGACATGAGACAGGGTCTTCCTTCTCAGTGATGGCCACTCGGTTGTGGAACCGAGTGGTGACATCATGCAGGCACCATGGTGAAATCCATCAGCTTCTCAAATCATAGAGAATTAGCTTGGATTGACCCTCAGGTGAATGTTGGGATCAATCCTCCAAACTTGGTGGTCTGGCCAGTTGGTGGGGTAGAACAATAAAACAAAAACTCTAGGTTTCCCATTCCTGGCAGATCATTTCCATGGGCCTGAAAACTCTGGACTTGCAATTTGCCACATTGGACATTGGTCACTTAAGAAGCTTGCTAAGGAACTGAATGACATGCATTCCTATGAGGACCAGCTCAGGGAGCAGAGTGTGTTTAGCTTGGAGAAAAGAAGGCTGAAAGGGACATGAGAGCCAGGTTTGAATATCAGAAGAGATGTCCCATTGAGGAGAGGGAAGCTTGTTTTCCGCTGCTCCAGAGACAAGGGCCTCAAGGAGCAATGGTTTCCAACTGCAGGAAAAGAGATTCTCCCTAAACATCAGGAATAAATTCCTGACAGAAAATGCTGTTTGATAGAGGGCTTTTCCTGCCTGGGAGTCCAGTAGGGCTTCCTTCTACTGAATGGCAGAACTGGGCTGGACTAGATGGCCTTTGGGGATATCTGCCAACTCTGATTCTATGAATGTGTGAATCTACTCTCCATCAGCAGCTGTAGACACAGGAATCAAGCTCCCCATTCCCAATGGGACACCTTTCCAAATATTTAAACATGGCCCTCATACCCCCTCTCCGCCTTCTCTTTTCACTCAACCAGTCCTCAAAGGGAGTCATAGTTCTCAGACCTTTCACCCTTTTGGTCACTCTTCTCTAAACACAATCTAGTTTGTCCCTGTCTGTTCTGACCATTGGTGCCCAGAACTGGACACAGTCCTATTCCAGGCAGGGTCTGACCAAAGCAGAAGAGGTGCCCGCCTTCAGAGGGAGACAGAGCTTCAGGGACAGGAGATGAGTAGTGGGTTGAGTGTCCCATGGTGACCCCTGGAGAAGGATAGCCATCCTTTCCCCTTGGGTTCCTCCATCCCGTTCACTCCCTGTCCCTCACAGAAGCTGGGCCAAGGCAACGGTCAGCATCCAAGAAAGGAGGCCGATTCCACTTTGGTTCCCAGGTGGGCCTCTGCTAAAGAGCGGAGGAGATCCTGCAGCCCTCATGTGTCGTTGGACTGCAAATCCCAGCAGCCTCTGACAGTGTGGTCAACTGAGAAGAATGCTGAGGGTGGTAGTCCAAACATGACTGGAGGGAGAGAGGTTGTAGCAGAAGGAGAAGCCCTTCTTTGTTGGAGCCTTGAGTTTCCCTTCCTTTCCCTACAGTTTCTGGGGAGAGAGGAGCTCCCCTGGGCGGACAGCAGCCTGGAAGTGCAGAGGGGGAGCCTGACGTCCTCCGAGAGAGCAGAGAGGTACCTCCTGCCCATGATTTGGGGGGGGGGGTAGGGCAGGCTGCGGTCTGGGGGTTTGGGGCCTCCCAGAACGTTGCCTTCCTCCCAGGGGCTGGAAGGTCCTTGGGGTGGGGCTGGCCTTGGGGACCTTGGGAGAATGGAGGGGATCCCAAGCTGAGCTCTTCTTCTGTCCCTTGCCCTTCTAGCAGCTTCCTCTCGGAGAAGAGCCCAACTCCGCCGCAGAACAAACTACCCAAAGACTTGGTGAGTGAAAGAGGGGGGCTGGAAAGAGGTAGCTGGATCAGGGCCACCCCAAGACCCCTTGAGTTCAAGGTGGCCCTTGGCTGAAGAGGCCTCCCTTGCGGTGGGAATCTGGCAACTCTAAGTCCCATCAGCCCCAGGCAGCGTGGTCATTGGGGAGGAGGTCTGG